GTTGGTGCAAAATAATGACGTAATAATGTCGTTTTTTGACGTATTTTTTAACGTCAAAAAACGACATTCTGACGTCATTATTTTTGCACCAACCTAATACAAAGGCGCATGTGGTTCATGCATTATGTGGCTCCAGCACATATTAGTCACATTGTTCGCGTGGCACGTTCCCCTGTCCTTAATCCTTTAGATTTTTATCTGCGGGGTCCCCTAAAACAATTTGTTTATGTAGCAGACATTAATAATCCAGAGACACTTCAACAACGTGTCATGGGAACCTGCGAAACCATTCGACAAAGAATTTGAATGTGGTGAAGTACAATTGATGGCCATTTTAACATAAGTGTATACAGATATTTTACCTTGTTTTGTTGTCAGAAATATGCCCCCAAATTTTGAAAAAGTATTTTTGGATTTTATCTTGGATCGCACATTTACCAGCGTCTACTGTAAACTTTAAACTTAATAACTCAAAAACGAAAGATTTGCGGATATATATTTATATGAACTTTTGTCCTTGTTTGGTGTAAGGTACCCACATATATATATATATATATATATATACAAATTTGGGTGCATCCCCATAAATAATTGCGTGTCAGTGTCTGTATAATATATTTCAGAGAGCACACGGATAATATACTGATACTAGGCACGCTAACCATAGAGAGCACAGATAGATAGATAGATAGATAGATAGATAGATAGATAGATAGATAGATATTAACAGACTAATAGAAAGATACATGGAGATCTATTAACGGACTGAGATAGATCGATATAAGCAGAAAGTGATAGATAGATAGATAGATAGATAGATAGATAGATAGATAGATAGATATAGATATTAGCAGAAAGCGATAGATAGATAGATAGATAGATAGATAGATATTAACAGACTAATAAAAAGATACATAGAGATCTATTAACAGACTGAGATAGATCGATATTAGTAGAAAGTGATAGATAGATAGATAGATATTAACAGACTAATAGAAAGATACAAGGAGATCTATTAACAGACTGAGATAGATCGTTAGTAGCAGAAAGTGATAGATAGATAGATAGATAGATAGATAGATATTAGCAGAAAACGATAGATAGATAGATAGATAGATTTGTATGTATACAGATCCTAGGCAGAGACCCAGCGTATGACACATTCATCAGACAGACGCTGAACTGACAGATATTCTACTCCTACCGCTTCATATTTACATCATTCGTCATAGTATATATATATATATATATATATATATATATATATATATATATATATGGTTGATGATGATGCTACATCTGCAGAATGTTCTGAGTGCGTCACATTCTGGAAATCAAAATTAACTGCAGGATGGAGCGATATTTGGAGCAATCAATTCTCGATTCTGAAACGGGACGGTGGTGATGTGGGTTAAGATATCTGGTGGACGGGGGGCGAAGGAATTTGCTGGAAAAGGCGGATATGCGCTGTTTTGTACGTTTTGAAGGTGCGGGTGGCGACTAGCGCGTGGGCGGTGCTTGTTTCCCGGATTTTCCATCGTTGGCACATCTGTTGTGCCTTATGGCGTTTCACGCGATGGATTTGTCCCCCGATACTCTGGGCAACCCCACTTTCCATCTCTCTGCCAGTGAGCCGTTATGTTATTTTCTCGCCATCAAAGGGAAAATATAGAAATGCGGTTTCCTCGCCCACGTCCCGGTATTTTAAAGTTAGCTGCAAGTCGGTATTTATCCGGTCGTCTACGTGAACGGAATATGGCACAAGGCCAGAATTAAAATGGGATTCCCTCGCGTATTGCTTTGCTGTTTCGACACTTCCCTCTGGGACGTCTTGATCACACATATTTAAACCTGACCCTTCTTTCAATTCATACAGATGGGAAAGTCCTGCGTGGAGCAATGCCACTCCCCTGGATCTGAGCAAAATAAAAAAAAAACTCGGGTAAAAATTTGAGTATTTGTGTCGTTACAATTCAGTTCATGACGAAAAAGAAACATCCGTCTATATTTATGAGATAAGATATTATGGACATTATTTACATTATTCGGACTATTGTCCTCATCTTTGTCGACATATTTATCACAACGTTTCGGCCGTTGTACGCTCCGGCCTTCTTCAGGTGGTTAGAATGTGAAAGGGTTCATTTCGACATTCCAACCACCCGGAACCGTCATTTACGCTGACGTGCCTAACCTCTGGGCCACAAAGAACCTTTCGGTAGACAAGGTCGAATTTACTGCTTATAAACTTCAATCTTGTCTACAGAAAGGTTCTTTGTGGCCTAGAGGTTAGGCAGGTCAGCGTAAATGATGGTTCCGTATAGGATGCAGGTTCGAATCCTGTGAAAGAACGAATGTTTTCTATGAAAATTTCTCGGACATTCAGGCCGGTAAATGTTATTTAATACTGTTTATCATAAACAGAGCATTTGCTTAAATACTTGTATCTATAAATAACAACGTTAAACATAAAAATGTCTTTAATAAATAAATTGTCGGACGTTGTCCATTTCTTAATATATATATATATATATATATATATATATATATAAGCTGTATTAATAATATATGGACAAAAGCCAATATAAACATATGTCCGCAGTATCTTCACTTTTGAGTCATTACGTTTTAAAAATTTTACGGTAGATGGCATTGTATTGCCATGTAGCCTAGATTATATATGCCATTCGTTTGGGTTATATATATATATATATATATATATATATATATTCTGATAATAATGTATACAGATATATACACCTATACAAATACACATATATGCACACTTGCATACCTCCAAATACAAAAATAATATTACAATTCAAATACAATATACACATCTAATATATAGTTTTTAAATATAATACAAATGTACAACCAAATATCATTACATATCCAAATATCCAACTATATATATATATATATATATATATATATATATATATATATATATCCACATCTACATTGATGTAGCATACTCACACACACTATACAATTATGTATGGAGAACGAATACATACGCATA